CGCTAGTAGTAACAAGTGCCTTACTAGTAGTAACAAGAAGCTAGTAGAATTTAATTAGAATTACCGAATTACCTCTTCAGACCTTTAGACCTTCTCCGGAGGCCTAACTGCCAGAAGAGTGAAGGACTTGGGGCCAAATGGAAATCCGGGAGAAGCAGCTCGTTCCGCTATGGCTGAGTGGCGCTGGGAAGCATCTAATCTCTTGCTGGATTCTCTGGCAGGAAGAAGCTTCGCTGAAGACTCAAACATTGTGTAAACACGTGGCTTGTAGCTGGCAACCTGTGTGGCTCTTGATGAACAGGCATGTTCAATGTTTATGGTTGCTGGCCTTTCAATTGCTCGCAACTGTTTGCAAAGACGCACATCCATGGATACATGTTGGACACTATGGATGTTGGGGCATATGACAACGTTTGATATCCTTCAGTTTAAGGTAGGTCTACCTGGAATCACTGTTGTCATCAGGCAGGGATATTATACTTTTAGTATTTTTCAATGATGTGGATCCGTCATGTAAGTTGCTTATTGACGTTTTGCATGAAGCAACCCTTTGCCTTTCTCCAAATCCATTGTTTGGGTCTGGACAAAACCAATGAACAAACACCAGAGTCAGAGCCAGATACACGCTGAGACTTTTCAAGCACAAATGACAGCTGTTATGTCATTATGTTACATGTGCCACACGGAAATTGTAATCTCTGAGTTCAGACAGGCAGATATCTTGGTCTCGTTAACAGTTTTTCGCATCTGTACGCTAGTAGCTTGGAGGCCATCGTCGCCACGACTACCGGGGACTCGTCGTTGTCGACTCGTCGTTCCGATGTATCCAAGGAGCATTGCTTTCATTTGCCGACTACCGGGGGCGAACTGCATTGCACCATGCTGCTTCTAGTGGGGATGTCCAGGTCATTGAGCTGTTGTTGAAAGCAGGAGCAGAGAAAGGCACCAAGGAGAGCAGACAAAGGATGACAAGATGTTTCTCTGTATTATTTAGCTTTTGTTCGGAAACGTCCTTCTCAGAGTCGTGTTTGTTGACCATGTTTCTTTGTTGGGCATATTTTCGTCAAGCATTTTCTACTGGAACCGAACGTCTCGGAAAGGACCAGCAAGGCCGCAGCCCTGCACACCTGGCTGCTGTTTATCGCCACAAAAATGCCGCAGCTTTGCTTGCAGAAGGTGCAGACACAGGATGTGACGCTTATGGCCATTCTGTCGAGAGCATTCTGGATTCGCAGGCACGTGAAGAAGACAAGTTGATTTCTTGGAATTTAGAACATCGGCCACCCGATGGTTTACAGAATCTGTGGTTTTCTAGAGAGTGTAGGTAAGGTAGATGGGGAGGGATGTCCATCACCTTCCTGGCAATAGTTGCTCATGCTAGGGAAGCAAAGCATTGATCCGCTCCCGAAGAGGCTTTAAAGGAAGTTCCTGAAGTGTCTGCCGAAGACATTTCAATGGAGTCGGACTTTATTGCATCCTATGTGTCACTGAATCGGCCAGTCCTCATTAAAGGTGGTGCAATGCACCTGGAAGCGATGTCTTGGTCGGATTACCGGCACTTGCTCATGGACATGGGCTCGGAGGTGGTTCAAGCTGCACCTGTGCCCTATTCAAAGAACATGGGTCTTCTTGGGGCAATGGAGGCACCTTTGTCTCTAGGCACAAGCTGGCAGGTGTTCTTCTGGCAGATGTACATTCACACCGTTTGATTATTGTCCTCATTTGCAGGCAAAACCCGCAAAACCCCACAAGTTAATATGTCAGAGGTCAGAACTGCTCTCATCGCCCAAGATATGGCGGAGTGAAGAGGCGGATGAGAAAGCTGCCAGTGAACCTCCGTCCTATGTTTTTGATGCCAGCGTTCTTCGGCGCAGACGCGATCTGGTGAAGAAAGCTTCTGCCTTGACGACATCATTTATGGAGCGCCACTGTTCGCACGTGCGCGTGCCGCAATTTGGCGTTGGCTTTCGTGGAGCTGGTGCACCAATGCACACACATCACGCTGCGCTCAATGCATCTTTTGCAGGATTTGCTTTTCGCTTCGGCAGTTCAGACTTCTTGTAAATGGGTCCTGAAAGACTGCTTGGAATCAGATCAAATCACGAGTATTCGTTTTGGTTCCTGTAGATCAAAGTTTTGAGATTCGCTTCGCTCAAGCAGCTTCATATGGGATTGATCCATGTGGGGCTTCTTGATCTTCTTGTTGTATGCTTTCAGTTCATGCAGGAAGGAAACGATGGCTTTTGTGTCCACCGGAAGCAGCATCGTGGGACCTGGAGCCCGTATGTTCTTGGTGGCAAAGCGATCGTTACCAGAGACAGAGAGAATCCGGCTTACTCTTGGAGTTTCAACAGGACATTGTTGCTGTTGGTTTTGTTCCTTTGTCGTTGCTTCGCGGTCCTTGTGGTCACATTGCCTGTTGGTGACACCAGATCAGAGGAACTTCCCCTCCCAAAGGAGAAATGTTGAAAGAACCTGAATATCCTTTCGATGGCGGGAGTGGTTGCAGTTGCATTGTCGGTGAGGCCAGGTGGGAGGGCATGCCTTCGATTACTTCAACAGGTCTGACCCATCCAAACAAGTTCCATTGATTCCTCTTTCCAATGACATAAACGCAGAACAATTGAAGCGACAAGCTGATTGGACAAGTCCAGAGTCTTTGAGGTTGTTTTCCAGTGTCAACATTCCTGGCTTTGCAAAACATGCCGGGGCCGGAACATTGACAAGGGTCAGCTGGTCACTACTGACTCCGGTCGACGGTGAGTTGACGACGCTTTTAGACTTAGACAATGAGGAGCATACGAGAGTGGGTCACCAGGAGCCTGGTGACCTCCTTTTCGTTCCAGAAGGATGGGGTCACGCCACGATCCTGGAGAGCTATGCGGTCCCTCGGATGTGCAATATGTGTAATTTGCCACTGCATGTCTTCTCTTCCTGTCTACAGTAGTATTTGTATGCTGTAGTATAGTATAATGGCCAATAGTTCAGAAGGACACTGCTATTGTGCATTTGTCACTGATACGACTATGCCATGCGAACATGCCAGGTTGGCGTGGCCCAGGAATTTGTGCCTTGGAGTAGCATCAATGGTGACTTGGATGCAGTTCTTGCCTTAAACACAGCATGAGCAGAACGGAGCTCAAAAACTAGATACAACGACGGCACGCCACGACGAAGCCACAAATGTTTAATGGTTTTGTGGCAACAAAACCGAGCTCTTCCCTTGCACATGGCAATATGTTTTTTGGGGAAAGCATTGCGGGTTTACAAATCATCACGTTGCATGTTGCCGTGCCTTTGCATGCGTTGACAAAAGCGCAGGAGTGGTCCCCCTCATGGCGCCCAGGTCGTAGCATTCACTGGGATGGACAAGCCTGTGGTACTGAAAACGTTGGTATTTCAGGAGAGCGCCGCCCATGGCCCCCAATTTCATGGTATTTACTGTATAGGAATGGCCAGGCCTGTGGCCCTTACAGTCGTGGTATTTACATGGGTGGCCGCATGTGGCTGCGCATGTGGCCTC